TCGACGTGCAGGAGAAGGAACGGGGTGGTTTTTAGTCAGTAAGAGTCTGACACTCGCTCCCGCCTCACCCAGGCGGGAGCAGTCATTCGATGATTGTCCCACCTTAAAAAAAAAGTCATTGTTGTTATATTTTTTTTATAATCTTTGTTTTTGAAGGACTCATTCGAACAAGCCACGTCTTTGGGCGAACAAACAACGTATTATAATTAAAGTTATACTATACAAAATTACATAACATCACGTGTAAAACATGACAAACAGTTATTTTCTTTCAATACCATTCGCTGAATACTTGGTTAATAATTTATTTCATCTTACAATTATAGTGTTCGTACAAGAAAACGTACGAAGCTATAGTTGTAATGATTTATTGCACATAAACAATAAGAAGACATAAAACACAATATATTTAATAAAACAATGCATAGTGAATAGTTTACAGCTGACATTATAGTTTGCATATGAAAGCTTAGTATATCTACCTGTTAATTATTATATATTACCATGGAGTACACGGATGTGAGGTTGAACATAAATAGTCCGTTGAAACGTAATAAATTCAAAGAAGGTGCTATGTTTTGTATATTATTAATTAAGTACCAACCAATAATATTGTTGTAGGATTTTCACTCGGTTGGACGGCCCGCGCCGAGACACTTCTCTCGATATATCGCACGCCCCGATCGGATCACATAAATTTTCAAATTTAGTATAAAAAATAGTTAAACAAGGATGTTATACATATACTTATAATACATAGCCAACTCTTGCTACAGTAAGGGCATTTTATGCAGTCCAATGGTCAATTTTTTGTTTAATTTCCACAGTAAACGATAGTAGGTACTGTTTTTTCTAATTTATTATAGGTGTGTAATATTTTAGTGTTTGTAATGCCTTTTTATATTTTACAATTGGAAATAAAATATCATGCACACGAATGAAATGAGAAGTAATATTCGAAATATCATTTTAAGTATGATATAAAAATGCTGTACACAAGTAGTATTTTATTATCTGCGGCGCTACCTTTTTTTAAACAAATCACGGGCTACGGTGCCTTACCGCCAAATCACAATCTTATAATTAATTATTTATTGATATCTCCAATTAAGATTATAGCTGTTACCGACGTAAAACATCACATTTTACGTCACATTTTTCATTTGTTTTCGTATCAACTATTAATTTGCTTTGATTTCCAAATACAGATATGACTCATTAACATAAAATATAGATAACATTGTCTCGTTTCTGAATTATAGATCAATAAATTGTATTGATGTCTCAATATTTTAAAGTTTTCGTTCATTTAGCCGTCTTGTAACTGTTTCACAATATTAGAAATAATAGAAATAAAGTAGACAGGTATCATCAAACATGGCGACTATGACGTCTTACTTAACAATGATTAAGGATTAGTGAACACTGGAAGCGATACTTGAGAAAAAAAATTACACGCGAACAATTTGCATAAATATGTAGAGCTTTGACAGTTGAAACATGAACTGGTTTTACAGTAAGTCTATGCACGTGGATTATCTTTGTATACAATTGACGTTTACGCGTGCCATATTCATAGTTCGATGGTCTTTAATCAGTTCTTTAAGCCTTTTTGTTTTCGCGTGGACTTCCATGTTTTGACGTTTAAAGTGAAAATAAGACAGTTATTTGTATATTTTGTCTAGATTTTAAAGAAAGGTAATAAATAGCGAATTAGCAGTTTGCGTACATTTGATATCAAAGTTTTAATTTTGAATGTGCGTCGAATTTTCCACTATTGAATAGGTCCATAACAAATATTTCATCGATAAAACGATCAGATAATTTAATATGCACAGAATGTTAGTAAGACAAATGCCAAATAATTCTGGTCATTATAAATATTAAATACCTTTATTTTTTCGCTACTACATGCGATGTTACGAATTCCCCCAATATTTATGTTAGTTTTCGATACATTTATGTTAATAGAGACCTCCCAGACACTCATTAGAATTTACAGTCGCTAGAAACTGTGCTCATTTTGTATTCACGGCACGCGAAGTTCAAGGTCGGAGCGAGAAAATTCATTACCAAGTATTTAGGTATTTGCCTTGAACGTGGTTTGGGAAACTACCACATTGATACATGTGGTATAGGTATTTACTCTCTACATAGCTAACGATTTCATTGTTAGTAACAAAGACGATATTTAAATTGAATTAATAAAACATTATATTTTCGGTGATGGCGCTTCCAGTCATGATCGTGATGTCGATGATTTTCCTCCCTTAAAAAAAGGCAATATCGTGTTTTACTTTTTCAATCGATTGATATTTGAATGATTGTATCAAAAAAATATTATAAAATCATAGATATATATATTCTTTGCAAACATATTTCCACATAAAATAATCATAATATTGTCCTTCAATGGAATCCATAGTTTTCAATAGCCTTGACATGTCACGCAAGCACATGTTATATTATGTTATACGCTATGCAGTAAAAGTATTTATTATGTTTGACATATATGTGAATTTTCTTGATAGAATTGCGATATTTTTTTATCTTATCCTCTTATCGTATAGCTTGAGAATATGTTGATGGAACTAGGTTACTGGGCTTTAACCTGGTATTGTATAATAAGTTATCAGTTCTTGCAATCATCGGGTTGTTTTTTTATTTGTAGAGAATAGTACTGTAGCAAGACTTAAGTAGAAAAGTATTTAAAATATCAATGTAATCCAACTTATTAAGTCAAATATATAACATAACATAACATCACGCCTTTTATCTGCGAAGAGGTGTGTACATCACAAAACTGTTTGCAACTGTACCTACAATGCAATACCGACTTTTCACTAATTATGTTATGAGTCCCATGTAATAGGGGGTGAGCCTATTGCCATATACTGTCATACACAATTCCAGACTCCGTGCTACTACAAAGATTAAAAAAAACCCCAGAAATACTCTGCCCGACTCCGGAATCGAACCCAATCGAATGCGAAACTTTACATTTTTAGCTTCTCAGACGGAAAAACCATTTCAAAATAATCAGGTATGCTTCATGTGTAGGTGACGAATTTGACGAATCGAAATAATTATCCGCTACTGCTTAAAATGTGAATTGTAAAATGATGTATTTGAACAATGAGTACATACACACATACATGCATATAGAAATATTGTATATGAGTACATGTGTACTGACGGCGTTTAGTTTTTTTTTTACTTTTTCATGCAGACGAAAACGTGCTCCCACGTGATCAATTACACATTAACCTGGGCGGATGTTCTTTTGTTTTTTTAATTGTTCTAGCTCATAATAGGCATTGTTGTATGTCTGAGTAAATTTAATATATTAATGAGACCAATTTTACATGAGTAAATTGTCATATTTAGTCAATAGGGTAGATGCCTAATTTTTATTTTAATGTCCGTCTGGTAGAGTATTTTAAATCATTAGACTTTATACATAACAGAATCATTATTTTTTATTTTATTACAGAAACGAATACTTTCTACGATATATTGATTTGAAATTTCGCGTGACGTCACTTCTATGTATATTTTATACGTAGAAATGACGTTTTAGCACCTACTCCTAAACTTTGATTCGTTTTATGTAAGTATTGTTTTATTATACGACAAAATAAAAAATAAGTGTCTAATATTTTTTTAATCCCTAACTTACGGACTAGTTAGGTTTTTAATTTTCATACCCTGTCATCATCCCAATTCAGTATGTCTAACGATAGTTATTATAAAAACGAGAGCATTCTTCTATAAATAATTGTTATGACGAATTCATCAATTCAAAATGACCTGGAAAAATATGTACATATTAATAAACCATTATAATATTATATTCATGAGATGGTTTCGTCTATAATTGACTCACCGATACTTTTGTGTAGGTATTTGATACTTTTTCAAAGGCCTTTTGTAACCTATGTTATGCTTGTATTCACGAATATTAGATATGAAAATTAAAAAAAAATGGTCATATCGTCAAATCATATTTATTGACTGTTAACTCTTTCAGTCTTGGTAGTCACTGTAGCTAACCACCTTTTCTTAGAAATTCAATTTTTGAAGTAGGTATGCTTCAAATTACTATTCATTAGTTTTTAAGCATTTCAGTATAATAAAATAAAATTTATTCGTAACCAGTTAAAAGTGTGACTGAAAGAGTTAATAGACAAAATATGCATTAAAAGCTTATTATTTATTGATAAGTAGCAATGAAACTTTAACGCAAGTTGACTTATGTTACAATAGAATTTCCCGAGTTTGTGTGTTGCGTAAAAACGAAATTCTTCATCGACGAGTCAAGTAATTTAGTTGGAATTTACGTGTGGTATCCTATGTCAAAGTACAGGTGAAATTGAATTAATAATTACGCAGAAGTAACCTTACCCTTTGGAATGTTATTGTCGTTTTTTTATTATGCTAACAGACGCGGAATTAGGGTTGATACTTGATTCGTATTTATTTATGTTTTTTTTTTTCGGACATAGTTTGTTTTTAATTTTATAAAAAGGAAATGGTTGGAAATGAGCTATTGTAAGAAAGGAATAATGTAGCCGTTATCACTATGCTGTTGAATTCCAGATACGAATCATGGGTCTAGTAAAGTGCTGCGGTGTTCTTCGATTTTGAAACATTAGTCGAAACATGTGGTTTGTATTATCGTCCGAATCTTTCTAAACGTAGTAAGATTAAACAGTCGCGGCATGAGAGAAACACGAAACAAACTTTCAGATTTTAATATATCTAAGTAGATATATTATGTAGGTATATTGTATATTGATGTTTCTGAATATGAATACAGTAAATACACCGACTATATAGTACACATAAAGAGCCAATATCTACTAAGACTATTCAATTTACACACTAGTCGCGTAAGTTACCTAAGGATGATTGCCTGGCCTATGAACTTTAGTTTTTGTTACGCATTTATGGCGCCCGGTAGCATCGATGCTTAGGTATCGCGTTACCTAACGATCGACCGTGTTATAATCAATGATTAATGATATTACATGCCATCTAGATATCGTCTGCAGTAGCACGTTTAAGGAGATATTTTTTTTATGGAATTAGCCGGTAAACGAGCAGACGGATCACTTGATGGTAAGCAATCGGCGTCGCCCATGGACACCCGAAACACCAGAGGCGTTACAAGTGCGTGACCGACCATTTGAAGATTAGGAATTTGAGAATGATTCGATAAAATTGTATGTGATTTTATCATTAATTTTTGTAAATAGCTAAGTGCGTTCAAATTTTTACCTACAATGTTAAAGAAAACTTAGTTTAATGCTTTGTAAATAACGCCTCATTATTATAAAATTGTAGTTCTACGCTTAATTATTGTATATTATTATTGTGAGACATAGTATACATATGAGAATAGTAGTGCATATTATTGCTTAATACCTAAATATGACTAGTATATGCCTAACGTTATCTACCTATATACTTTACTACACGTGTATACAAATGAATTAATATAGAATGTCGACCAATCGTGCGTCTTTTTCAGATACATCTGACGTATGTACCTACCACGTTTAGCAGAAAAAAATGCGATACTAACATTTTATTGTATTAAAAAAAACGTGATTTATTATATATATTTTATTAAGTTTTTATGTCATAAACATGTTTAGAACAGGCTGTAATTAAAATATTTATGTGAATCTAACTATGTAATAATTCTCAATTTATTTCTTTATTACAAGGACGAATGGTTGTGACGTATGTTTGTTTTATGATATCGAATTACGGCAATGTCAATGACCGGATTAGGGTATTTTTTGTAATGTGTACTTATTGAGCTTCCTCGGTCAAATGGAGGCACGATGTGATTACTGTAATGTCAAGGGTGTGACGACAAAGGTGAATTTTGTTTTTTTTTAAAGCTGTTGCCCAAGCCAAAGGACGCATTTTCAACCATACTTAGACTGTAATACAGAGACAATAACTCTCCTTTTAGCTTGATCGGTAAAAACCAGTAGATCTAATAAGTATGTAAGCAAGAAACAATCGATTGTCTTACATATAATAGTAATGATTAAGTACAAAATAACACTTTTAAACGATGTTGTCCACAATAATGAATTTTCAGATCTAATATGATATCTAGTGTTTCCTAGATTAAATACTTCCTAAACTTTTATGATCCATTGTACATAATGCAATTGTAGAGAGCATTCTGAACAAACCTACATACATATATCCATTCAATCGTAGCGTCTTTGCAATACTAACGTACAAAACTGAGATAAGAAAAATACATTCTCGTTTTCTTTTATGGCGTAAATACACTTCGTTTATGATTCGGAAATACCAGTTACATGGGGATTTCAGTATGTACCTACTGACATCGTTTATTTAGAAATCATTGTACTTTTGGTAATTTGTAATGATTTTTTGAATAAATTTTGAGGTGATGTTTAAACATTAAAAATGTAAATACATCGTCACGTTTTGTTATCTCTGAAGGAATAGGCAGAAGTGCACGTATGTGATAAAATTTCCAGTATTTAGTGGTTATGCTTTTGTCCCATATAATAGGGGGTGTGGCTATAACCATCGTCAGAACTTAAAGTCACAATCGTTTATTTCAATTAGACCAGAAAGGTACTTTTGAACGTAAAATACAAAAAGATTATACAGTATTTCGGTCAGTCCTCTAGTGAAGCTATTTATATGTATATACTAGGTATCTCCAATTTAGGACTCTTTTATTTATATATCACTAGTTGATCAGTCAAACTTCGTAATGCTCAAAATATTGTCTCACCTTTTAAACCTTCCCTGGACTTCCACGAAGATTTGACGACCAAAATTAACCAAATCGGTTCAGCGGTTCTCGAGTTTTACCGAGACTAAGAAATGGACATTCATTTATATAAATAGATAAATAGATTATGTAATTATTATTTCAGTTTCTGTTACTACACAATGATTATGATTTTGTAAGAAGTAATATCAAGAGATACGTCAGAGTATGTAGATGATATATTACCTCACATTGTGAAATAGGCGGTTTTAATTAAAAAACCTATTAATAAATAATTTAATCTCAAATTATCGTCTTAGATACTAATACGTATAAATATAATAGTTCGTATATCAAAGAGATTAGTACTTATATCTAATTTAATTTTAATTGTAAATAAATTAAATAGGTATCTAGATTAAATTTATATCTTTAACTCAACTATTGATACATAACTTATTTATGTACCTATGTTTACGTCCTATTATTGATAAGAATTATTTTATGTAATTACATAGGCATTAAATAAATAAATAAAATCTCTACGACTGGTTCAGCGGGTTGAGGATCAATGTTTAAAATATTTAAAGAGATTTTATACTCCCCGATCTTTAAAATGAGTTGAAGAGCATATAATATGTGAAATTTCATATAAAGTGTTTTAAAACAAAATGTGACCATAAAACATTCATCTGTTTTACGCATTCATACAAGATAAACATTGTTCATTGTTTGCGCATTTCATCTGACGGGAAAGATTAGGTACTTTCTGCTCTTAATCTATACATATTATACATTACTTATACATATGTAACTACCATTTACTTATGTTTAAGATTACTCATAACTTATACTTACACTAAATTCCACCAAGGTACTTTTTTATTTCTTTACATACTAAGTTTTAGTTTGTGATTTTGTATCTTATTGTAAAGGACATAAAGTTTGATAACTCTTTTCTTTGTTTCCAGGTTACCACAGCTTGCCGTCTCTGCGAAGATATTGTGCCTCCTGATGGTAAGTTGAATCTTTTTTATACAAAATACAATTATAAAAGAAAAAGTAAAAGAACCACAGCATATAGAAATATTAAAGACGTACAATAATATCACCAGATGTCATAAAAGTTCAAGTGACAACCTTGAGAACTGATAAAAAATTAATTTACCAAATTCAAAGATATAAAACGATGAGTAAATAATTAACAGCTGTGATAAAAAGTGCCAAATAGTGACAAATTTCAATCTCCAGCGTGACCTGTTTTCTTATCTTCGTTTTTCATTGCTCAAAAATGTATAAAAAACCGATACATTATTGCACCAATAGACAAAGAATTGAAACCCATTTAGCATAGAACATAAATTTAAAAATTAATTCCCAATTAATCTGCGATAAAATAAATTAACTGTGACCATAAAGTTTATTAATGTTGTTAGAGGTTTTAATTAAATAAAAATAAAGTCAGATGCTTTAAGGTTATCAGGTGTAGTCATAAATGTTCAATTTGGTAGTGTGGCAGTTTATAAAATTTGCTACTGTATAATTATAGTCAATTAGTGAGCTCATTTATAATATACTCCTTAACAAAGGTGTTAGGAGAATGAGTTATTATTATGAATCTTTAGAAGTTTCCAGTAGGTATCGTAATGTCTTTAAATTGAAGACCAAAAGGTCATTTCACTTAACAACTCAATTATCAAAACGATTACTTGACACACATGACATCGTTAGTATGATTTCTTAATAAAATTTCTCATTCCTATATTGGAAATTAGCATTGATTTTCGATTTGCCTAATTCGATCCTATCTAGGTTAGGCATACTCATAGCCCAAGTATGTAAGCTCTTAATAAAACCAATTTACGTAAGACGTAAAAAGGTCAGTTATCCGGTGTAAAAGGATTAGTAATTTCAATCGCAGCCATCATTTTATTCACATTAGCTGGGTGTAATGAGAAAACGTCTGCCGGTTACCCGTAAAGCGCATACGACGCATTTCGATGCGATAAAAGTTCTGAGAAATACTTCAGAGGTATCGCACCACAATAAATATGCAACTAGTGCATTCTGTGTAAATCACAATGTAAAACTAAATCATACGATTATTTACGTGCATTGTTAATTAGTTCTGAACACAACAAGTAAAGAAATGTTAAATAAATACGAGTGATTAGTCTGCGGAAACACGTCATACTTGAAAATAAATGTAATTATGTGTAGAATAATTTGCGAGATTGCATATTCATCTTGTCTATAAAACGATAACATAAAACGTAATTATGTAAATATTTCGACAAGTTAACAATTAAGATTAAGAACACCGAGGTAGAATAACTAAACTTCGGTATTTTGCGATTCGTAATCCGCCTTTGATTAGTTTCTACATCGCGTTTGTACGTATCTCAGGTATTTGTTGCTTTAACAGAGACAAACTGAATACATTTGCAATGATTAGACGGAATTTGTAATTATAATATCAATCGTAAAACATTTCCAAACCATACTTGCCTTTGTACATTATTAGTTTGTGAGGGAGTTCCTCAAGGAGTCGTATTAGGGCCTGTAATGAGCATGTCAAGAGCACGCTCTAAAACGATTATTTAGTCTTCTTGTATTTACAAGTACTTACGTTCAAACCTACACCTTATCGCTTTGCAGTATATTTTTAGTATTGTTTTCTTTTCCATATTGGTACAGCGTGACTGATTAGCATTCGCATACAAATAAACATGCAATTTATTTTCTTGTAAATTATAAACAATTTGTAGCCATTTGGTTTTCTTTCTCTTAATAGGGTCATTTATAACTTATAGAATATACCAGTTCCATTGTACCATTTGTACAAACTATTGTATACGATAACCAAATATCTTTATAGTGCATTGCATTGATTGTGTAAGAAACTTTATAGATTCTGTGGTTTCGACGACTGGAATTGTTAGTTATATGTATAATAATATCTATAATAATATATAAAATAAAATCTGTTCACATAGGTCTTACTTACGTTTGTCTGGGCAACATACCTTTACATTTTAAATTAGACGCCTTTGTTTGTGGTTGTTAATCGCCAAAGATATTAATGAAAAACAAATTCATGTTTTTACTTGTTTCTTTGTCAATGTCATCTTCTTTAGGTTCTTCGTCCTTTAATTTGTTAACAAATTGATTCCTAACAGGTATAATGCAATTGATTGCACACAAATGTACTTCAGGGTTCCGCATTCGTTCGATACGGACGTCTAGACATTGACGTGACGTGTCCCGGCGTCACTATCGGACGCGCAACGATAATAAATCAATCATTCACATGTTTAATTAAATCAGTCAATTATCTTTCAATAACGTAATATTGATTTGCGATGTTGATTATAATCAGGGTTGTTAAACTTGTTAGGAATTTTGAAAAAAATGTATTATGACTTTAGTGGGTGCCATTTTTTGTGTTATCTATCGGACTGTTGATAAATGTTTTTGCATGTTTGTTTTCTTTACTTTAATTCAATTTGTAACTTTACCAATGATCAGAAAATTTAGATAACCTATGGTATAAGTGTATAGCTTTTGTCCAATATTGTGCTTAATTGTATCATGGGAACCTCTCGAAGAATATAGTCATCAGAGATTTGAAATTCTTCGAATCACTAACGTTGGTATTTAACATATTGATTTCCTAATTCTCATAAATAGCAACTGTTGTACGTGACCGCGGGTTAGTTGCCGTAATTATCACATTTGCGATGCGACACACATATTATGGTCAAAATACCAAGCGATGAAAAAAATATAACGAGAAACGCATGACATATTTAATTGCTGTTTACTTAGAATCTAACCTTCTGGAAATTTGTAAAAATGTGTAATCAGACAAATATGTGAAAATAAAAAAGATATATCTACTTAGCTTATCATTGTTGTTACCAAAAAATGCCAAATGAAACTGCTTAATTCTAAAGGACTTGAGAAAAATTTACTTGTAAAAGAAAAATCAAATAGGCACTTCTCTCCTTGATTGAATCATTAACTACTTCATTGAAGGCCCTGTAATGGTCTTAAAAGCCTTCACCACCATTATAAATGTTAAGGCTCCCTATTTTTCCGCGAACGTATAATATTTAAAGTACGTCATGAGAGAGTTTAAGCGAGCACCTATCATTTGCTATGATTACATAGGTAAACACTGCACGCTGTCCGATGAAGAAATTTGCTCTTATTGAATACCGCCTATTACTAGCTTTTCAATTACAAACCCTGCTATAAGACTCGGGTTATGTTATTATGTAATATTATATCGTTTATGATGAGGTTTAATATATTTTTTTAATAGAATTTCCATTCAACTTCTAGTTGGTGTCTATTTTGACAAACATCAATAAAGAAATCCCGAAATGCATTTACCTTTTGTTGTTTGTATATATAATAACTTTTCTTGTCCTAAAACCAGTGTTGAATATGATGAGCTGTTATATTTTTTGGAAAAAATATTTCACTTTAAAACTTTTGTGAGAAATGCATATCAACAATAGAGAAACCAGTTATTTTTAGTTTCAAGTCTAGTCAGATGTTAACGAAGGATTATTCGGTTGATGATACGATAATGATGCTAAATTCATAACCAAAACTGGTACAAATTGTAAAGTAAACTACACAAGTAGCACAAATAGGGTTTCGTATGATACACAGGTTCATATGATAGACAGAAATTGGTCAGTGTATTTATATTTATACATATCATAACCTCACGCCTTTTATCCCTGAAAGGGTAGGCAGAGGTGCACATTACGGCACTTGATGCCACTGTACAATGTAACACTCACTTTTCACTATTTATATTTATTGTCAAAATCAAAGCATTTATTTCAATTAAACCATAATTTGGTACCTTTGAAACGTCAACGTTTCCATTTATTTTACAGTAACCTCTTCAGTACCTACTTGTAATATCTAAATCTGTACCTACTTACTTTAGATTGCTAATCTGTATCTACTCTTCATCTGAAGGCCTCTACTTAAGAGCTCTCGACATTTTGGCGACACATGTGACCTATATTTGGGTTATCAGAATCAAAAGATTATTGATACCAAGTGCATTGATATTACATCTAAAGTCATATGGTACAACAACATTCGACCAAAGTCCATTTAAAAACAGACTTTCAGCTGTTGAAGTTAAAATATTATATCGTTTACTTGTATTTGAGAAGACTTACATAACATGACATCGATATTTATCTTTACTTTGCCATAAAAATATCAAATTTTAAACATGTGAAGAGAATGTGCCGACATTCTCTTTTCTAGATAAGAACTGATTGACTATCATTAATATACAAATGCATAAATCAAAATCGTATAGAGTCGATAATTTCCTCTGTTCCAAAGTTACAGTAGATATTAGGTTGTTTAATTCAGAATTTATCGGTTGCCCAGTGCCGATTGACGTCCCCGGGTAATCGATATGTTAACGTTTCGATTTAATAAATTGAGCAACATTTATTTTGCATTGAAATCTTGAAACGCATTACATTGTCGAATCAAATATAGGAAGCGATCAGAATTTAAACAAGTTTTTTCTCTTAAATACTATACGGAAGAATGGATTCACACTTAACTGATATTATGCTAATTAAACATACAAAAAATGTATTTTAAAAGGAACTAAATTAAAAGGACTTAATCTTGTGAATTATGAACTCGAACTTTATAAAAAAGAAAAAAATAATTGGTTGGGTATAAACAAAATCCGTATACAACCACAAATCAAGATAAAAAGGCAAATGAATTCACACATAAATAGCAGAAATACGACAAAATAATACATTTGCCCAAAAATGTCGAGAGACGGGTTCATGCAAGACAGGCGCCGGATCTGCGCAAATCATTTACACGATTTGTCGTTTAGCACTTTTGTGATCCGTTTTTCACTTCTAATTCTTTGAAAGTATCTCTCTTTCTGGATTAACATATTGTTCACCTTTTACAGTTAGTTCGTCTGATAACAAGATATTGTTAATTCATAACTGTGTTTCGATCATCTTTAAAAAATGTTTTTACTTCATCTTTGTTCAAAATATTGCTTTAGTCCGTTACGTCAGCCTTATACACTATCATAGTAAAACAATTACTTTATCTTGGCGCGTGTGTGGCCGCTAATCCCTAAGTAATGATTATAATGATAAGAATTTGGAAACCAAACGATCTTCATTGTGAGGTCTCACTTCCAGCTTAGCATCATCCTCGTTGATACTTGAGAACATTTAAGACAGTGTTCGAGTTTGTAAAGAATTCATGTTCTTTCGTTAAGACAATGTTATGCATTGTAAATGTGAGATGTTAACTAAATGAAAATAAAAAGAGCCATAGAGTATTTTGTATCATATGTATATTTATTCGATTCTATGCAATCGAATAAATATATAATACAAAATACTAATAATACCAATATTTTAAGAAACAAATTATCTTGATATATTTTATTGTTTGTCCAATAACATACCTGAATGTTTTTTCAACTACGTCTTTACTAAGAATTACGTAACAGCTATTGAATCGTGCACTTCAACCCTGCATGTGGAAATGTGTGAAAATAAATCATTTAAAGCCATATTGCATGAACTAGTGAAATCTACCTGGACAGTTTCACTCACTTTCTATTTCTACAATAGTTAGGTGACATATACATCTATTTGGTAGACCGTAATCAAGTATTTGAAACTAATCCACGATTAGCAATCATCGATATAGACACAAGGAAGTGATTACAGTGTTGTATCGGACGGATTTAGGTCACTGGTGTTCAAAGATTAGTTTTTGTCTACAAACCTTCGTATTTCATAATAATATTTGATAAAAATAAGTACATAAGCATGTTCCTGTGTCGGTATGTAGGTAATGATAAAATTTAGTAGCCTATAATTTTTATTGCACTTAACACGAATATATTCTCATGAAATACCCAAAGGCCAGACCAAATAAAAAGTCACAATGTAATGAATGCTTATGTAAAACCTAACACGTTTTTGTCCGTCTCAAAATGGCGTAAATCCCTCTATAAATTTTGATGAACCCGGATTTTATAGACGGACACAATAAAATGATAATAACAGTCATGTAAGATAAAATTTTCTTGTAAACCCATCAACGTTTGTGAAGGTGTGACTGAGAAATTACGTTATCGATATCTGCGGCTCAGTCTTCACACTTCAATGGTACGAAGATTAATAAATTAATATTTTCAGTAATGTGTTACAACATTAAATTCCACCTAGCAACGGATCCTAACAACCTCAACTAAAAACATTTTAGAAGATAACTTTTATGAAAAGTATTGCAATGGTTTTTGCCAACATTCATACTAAAATGTCTCCTTCGTTTGTTTATATACAAAAATTGACGCGTAAATACACAAAGCATTATAGCGATAAGATGCCGAAAAATTATCATAGAGGACATGATAAGCTTAACATTATTAGTTTCCTAATTATAACGGCACTTGTACCGAAGATTACATGCTATTGAACACCAATATCTGTGCTTCGTACCGTGAAAATTTCCGATACACTTGGTACCGGATAGTTTTGGTTGGCTGACATGTAATCAAGCGTTCATAATGCGTTTGCTCGGGTCGGCTAAGATAAGTCCAATGACAAAACGATCAGTGACCTCCAAATAAACGATAATTGCACATTACGTCGACCTTCCTCTCGATACATGTAACACGTGATTTCAATTCCAAATATTTACTGAAAACCAATGTAGAAATTTTTCATAATTATGTGAAAATTGAATAGTTTGTGTAGTGATTGCAAATATACTTGTCGAGGTCTTGGTAACACTGTTGTTCATTGTACCATCTATTAAATTGTTCAAAGACGTATATATTAGTAACTTGAGTATAACGTAGGTAACAGTTCAGCAAAAAGTGAAACGTAACTAGATAATTGATTTAGCAAAAAAAAACATTTTAAATAACATAACAATCCGATAAAATTAATTTGGTAAATAATAACACATATCGCTAATTTCATAACAAAATATGCAAAAAAAATTATAAGCATCATAAAGAAATATTGTCGAAATAAATTAGTTCTCTGCAAACTAATATCATGGTTTGTAACGCATAAATTACGACATTAAGATTATGATATCTCGATTAATTATCTTAATAAAATCAACTGTACAAAGTTTAATATCATACGATGTTACAACTAATTGAGATATAACATAAGATTATTTATTTACTACTGTAAATAATATATGATTACGTTTTGTAACTGTTCTAACTTTATTTATGTTTCAAATGTTATGATGTTCAAACAGTAATTGACTTGTTTATGAAAAATTCTGTGGCAATTTTCGTTGCTGTACCACGAGAAGACAAACAAATATATCACGAGAGAAGCCCTTATAAACATCTTACGGATTACACCTTTTTGCTCCTAAAGGTATATAGAAATCTGAATAAATCCCATTATCATAATTAACTCCCATATCGTATTTGGTAACAGCACCGTTACTTTTAAGTATGACTCGTTTTGATTATGTGACAAGATTTTTAAAAACCAAAAGTATTTTTTTGTAATTAAACTTTCGTAATACAAGATCTCAAGCTGTACATATTTCTACAGAACTAATAACGTTATCTATCCCATTTGCATTTACATATATTGGTTTTACTAAATTGCTATGGCTACAACAACAATCCGAATAACTTAAACATTCAAAGCCAAAAAGTAAATGCAGTAAGTATTGTTTACAAAAAGTTCACGTGAAATGCAATATGGCTGAATAGTGACCGCGACGCGGTAGCCTATGCTTTCCAACTTGAATATGACACCGGTCGTACAGTTATAAAAGGACCTAAAACAACTGTAGATAAATATGAAAAATCAACTTTGATGGACACCTAAATAGGATTTATTATTGCCTAAACGACGCAATCTGATCCCTCAGTCTGACGGATTAGCTGAGCTCGGCTGACCCATTAAAACGATCGATTGTTTCCTTATTGTGGTGCCTGCGACGCGTGGTGCTAGTAATAATTACAAAATTCAATATGATTATAGTATGAGAATTTTCTCCAAGCGCACACGTAACACCGTTTGAAATATGCAAGAGCTGACATTATCACTGCATGGGCGTGTTTGTACAGTTGTTGCATTATAATTCGATTAGTAATACTAGATATCGCACGTAGTAATTTAATCAGCTGTAGTAGTCTTCAAAGTAAATCTAGACTGGTTCATGGAAATTAGAAGGAAAATTCGACGTGTTTCGGAGTTAACGAGTAAAATATTCAACATCTCAACTCGTGAAGTTCACAAGGTCATAGGAGATAGGGTTTGATCAATATCTGCGTAATGAGGTGTCGGTCGACACTGGCGCCATTAAAATCCCGGTGAAAGTACCAACAGAATAAGGAAACTAATTTAAACGACTTGACACTTAGTTGTTAGAAGGAGGAATGGACCACACGCAGCAGAAGAGTGTTGGAAATTTTCTCTATAACATCAATGTCGGCTTTTACATCGTACGCTTTCGAATTCATCTAAATGGTTTAAGTAAAATCCTCATCAAATTCCTATATTATCACACCGTTTTACAACATACGATTCCATAACATGAAATTTTAATTTTCGTAGTGAGTTCGTAGGTCCTACTTCCTACGTAGGTACGAGAGCACGTTTGTATTACGTCACGTCTATGACACAGTCTTCAATCATTAAAAATTGTGAGTAATCCTGACATAAATCAGGGTCTTACGACATACTGTTATCGCAACGTCAATTTAGCATGACCATCAATCAGGTACAACGTAGTAGCAGCGAAAATATTCCGATACGAGAATACGTTCAAAATAGCTCAATAAGTTCATGAATTTAATGTGCATAGGTAGTCTTGCTAAATGTTTATTAAGATATCTTGTCGTGCTTGGTAATTTTCATAATTATCACCCTTACAAACCTGATTCACGATAAGCTAGACACATTAGAATATTTCGAATCGTTTGCGAATTTATTCCTACGCTCCATCGAATTGAAATCTTATCTTGTCCTGTTCGTTCTTCTAATTGTGCAATGAATTTGACTATTAGAGATTATGTATTTTGTGAGATATTTTGATTACATGGATTGTTTTGTTTATGTTCAGGTGGTGGTCTGCGGTGCGGTGCCATCGATGGTAGTCCGGTCGGTTCGCCTCTACAGCCAGTGCTCCCATATGTACGTCAACGTGTTTCCAAACGGTACCGTCATGGCTCGCTCCGATGGAAACGACCAGCGTAAGTACCTTCTGTATTCACTATTTTACATTCTAGTCGATAATGTTATTTTTACCGCATAAGTACTTTACTAAAGACGTCAGTCAAACTTTTGTTGTGACAATACAAATGTTCATACTGCATGCTGTAAAATCAAACAAAAAATCGCCATTACAAATAGTAAAGGCAAAGGCAAAGTACGAAAATCTCAAAACTTACATAACTAGAGTAGAACCTAAAGGAACTAAAAGTAAAAATGTGTACAATTAAGACGCAGAGACAAGGAAATATAAAGTAAACTCAGGTTATAAAATGATATCGATCCTGACACCGCCGTGTAAACATAAGATATGATTCACGATGCCCGATTACAATTTATCAATTACCTCCAATTGAATTACTGACAGACGACAATACAGACATTAGCAGTTGAATAAGTAATGCTGTAATTGGTAACAATCTGCCGTTTAGTTTTGAAGAGGTTGTTATAAGACAGGAGTTTGCTACCTGAGGCTTGTTATTTTTTTGGATTGCAGTAAAAAATTAAGATTGTAATTTGGTTCAGATCACTTTATATAACAATAATAGTAACAGTGAAATTAGTTTTAGCAGTAAACTAGAATAATAACATATTTAAATATTTTGAAATTGTTTATTCAATTGTTCCACTCTTTTGAAGTCCCATATTTTAATTCGTCGCGGAAAAATGTTGATTATCTCTGCTTACCGTGTTAGTAACCAGGTGTGCTGATTCGCTTACTTTTTATTCAGTTGCCATCTGAAAATAAAACCAAAATGGTAGTACAAAATAAATTATTACAGCTGTTTATTCTCGCGGTAATAGTTAAAGATTTAGTCGGGGAATTCCATGAATAATGAACTGTGACTTACTGAATTTATTATCTTGTCCGTTGTTAATCATTCTGTTAAGCTGTTGAAAGGTGTTTTACAAGCAATTTATATAAAATATTTACGTTCGTACAACTGCAAATAAAAACTGAGATATTACAAGTTAATTATATAAATACTTTGATAAAATATTCAGATGGACCTAATGTCGTTCCTTGGGGAATCCCTTGAAATGTTTTAAATTTATAATATTTTACATGTTCTAGGTGTGATAATTTTATAACGTTAAACTGGTTTTAGTTAGTTACCCTTTATTAATTTTAGCTTAAGATTATTTCATAAATGTCTTAAAGTCAACGAAGAAAGTTCTACAAGTACTCTTGCTCGAAGATGTACGTCGAAGGCTGCATTCGCTAACACAGTAAAAGCATGCGGAGTAATAGTGTGTAGGGGCTAGACGTGAGAAACTATAGGAATATGTCAATACTTGACGGGTCAACGGCCAGTCACCGCAACAGGTAGAGACCACTGTGCGATATAGTAACGGGTACAGCATTGCTACGAAGTTATGACTGTAAAATGTGACTGTTCTTAGCATTTCGCATATTTATACCTGGTTTATTGGTGAAAAGGAGTTGAGTTCAAGGATTTTGTAAGAATTTCTCCTCTATAAACGATACTTAGTATATTGATAAGCTTGTAACTACATGATATATAATTATTGCATTCTACAACATTGACGTAGGTGGTGGATTACAAATTATGAGATGATATTTAACCCTGCAGACCATAACAAAAGTAGGAGAGACAAAAATGTGTAAAACATGAATGTTCAAAGTATTGTAATGTTTGCTGAGACATGTTGGACGTTACCAGAAATCTGGTTATAACCGATTCATCGTGTTATATTTAACTTTGACTAGTATGTCTCGACATATTAGGTACAGTCTCATTGTGGCATAATTTAAATTTAAGTATTGTATCTAGATATAAAAAACTAAATACATACGTAATATCTACTTATCATAATATATCTTAATTACTATCAAGTGCAGTCACGAATTCCTATTAAAGTTTTGGAGTGCATAATAAAATAAATGTATTCAGATATAAATTAGTACCTATAATAATTTATTGCAAAAAACTGCACTGAGACGTTCAGTTCGCAGTAAAACCAGCGATAATTTAAGTCACGATACGTTTTTTGGTTATTTTCTATCATTATTTCTCTCAGTTCCAACAAAAACATTGGCAAAAACTTCCCTAACGACATCGGCGATAAATCGAGGACTTTTTCTATTTATACAAGACTTGGCTTTTAAGCTTGGCGAAGTGAAGGGCTTTCATTTTTTCTATTATTTGACGAAAGTAGTGTGTCGCGAATATGTAATACTATTCTTACTTGCCAATTACTTAATGTTTATTTTAGATTGACGCAACTTTGTCGACTCTTGTTTAAATTTGCTTTCACCTTTCGTTATTTTTCGACTTTGCTTATTATGGACATTACGAAGCATTCTGTGTAATCACGAAACTATCTTTTAGTTATCATTTTCTTTTTCTGATCTCGTACGTAGTACCTATGTTGCATAATTCTATTTGCAATTTCTTCCAGTCTTTCTCGAGTTGAAATTATTTTCTAAATCTACTGATGCTATGTTTTTATTATCTGATTGTTTCGCGTGAATTGCATTTTAAATATTCACTATTTTATTTTCAGTGCATTCTGGATAAGTGCCAAGTTCTGCTTTCCAATTAAGTCTTCTCTTTTTGCTTCGACTACTATCTGGAAAGTGGAGCCACTAGAAAATTCACTGAATGGATAATTCATGATTTTGATCTTTATTTTCGTACGTGAATAATGCCCGTATCGTTGGCATATTATAATTAGTAATCGCAAAAGGATCTTTGTCCTAAATCAGAGAAAGGGATTTGTTGATCGTGAGGCATGCAGGCATATTGTTATGTTGTCTTTTATCTGCTTAATTGAAACTATATGCAACTCTACTTTCAACTTTATAATCAGAAAAATAAAGTCTAAGTTACGTCTTAGAGTAGTTTGTAGTAGGTGCATAGCTATGTTTATGCACAATCTTTCTATTGTGAAGTTCACATTACAATGTACGACGGCCGTACAACCAGTGACCCAATAATACTGCGACAGTTTCGTATCAGCATTTTGACACGTAATTTAATTATGAAGATGTTTGCTTTGTAATTGCGTCACCCACGCACAGTTCATTACGGGGCGATTCGATCATAAATTCTAATATCGAAATTACCACTTATAAAATACCGATGCTCAATAATGTTATACATTATAACATTACGTACTTTTTTTACATAACATCAATAAATAATACAGAGCGGAAAGCCATTAATTTAATATGAACAATAATCGCGTGAGAATAAACATTTATTTGTTCCCAGAGTAAAAAATTTAATCACTTGACCCGTGTTAGCATACGTGTTAGTTGTGAAGCAATAAAAGAAACTACACAGCCAATATTAAATTTAACGATTTAATATTGCATCACCAACTAAGAACGATCTCAAGATTATGACTATTTTAATGAAAAAACTAATGGAATGCAGCTCAACTGAATTTGGTCAGCTGTACTCACCGGACACATTGCAACGCCTACCACCGAATACTGCGTGAAATATGTGACGCTTTTTAATTAAAATTAGATTCGAAGGCACTGATAACGAAATTTAATTTTTCCCATCGAGTTAGAAACGGCGACTGGTTGGATCTAACGGCAATAGTGCAGACGCCGCGGGCTTAAAAAATATATTTTTGAAAATGGAACTTGGTTAAATATTTATGACGCTTTGTGTCACCAATGAACAGGTTTTTAAAACAAATGGGATTAATTTTATTAATCGATTAATAATTCAAATGTAGAACACAAGAACATGAATCACTAATTACAGTAATAAAGCAGATATGATTGTCTCTTTATTTAATTTACTTTCACTAGGAATAATAAATGATCCAATAAAGAAATGCTTCTAGACTAGGCAACGGTAATTTATTTTATTGTGACGGTTTAAAAAAATGGACTAATTTATTATCTGTTTAAACAAAACTGCTCAAAGAACCACCGAGTCAGTCAGTTATAAGCATAAACGTCTTCATCGGAAACAACCTCTTAAACTTTGATAACTCGCACGGTGGTTTATTTTTTGTGGCAATTCATCGGATGATTGTTTGGCGGAACGAAAATTATATGAAATCAATCGACGTAGGCGGTGCGGCGCCTACCTAAATTAAGTTGTTACGTTTAAAACATAATAATGAAGGTCCATAAGTTCCCTCTGTTTCGCAAAAAAATATACCACACGCAGGTCCACAATAATGCGGTATAATCTAATAGGGTATTAGTAATTTAATTTGCACGCGCATTAAAAAAAAATAGAAAATAACAGACGTTCTAAATTTGAACGCTTTTTTCTTTCTTTTTTTATTTCTGTGAATGCGTTTGGCGGGAATTTTTGGAAGCGTAGAAAATTTTGAATGAGTTTTTGATAGTTTTTTTTTTTAATGTTGACGTTTCTGTAGAAACACAGAATATTTCAATCATTATTATAGTCATTTTGAACTGTTTTTTTGTAGTAGTTATTCGCAAAGACATTGTGTGTTATCGTTGGGCGTTTTTGTTAAAGTAAGTGCCATGACTGGCGCATTAGTTTGTTATTTTTTCATCTTAGGATAAACAAACAGCCAGTAGTGCTCTTGTATGTTTCTTTACTAATTAATCGGTATTGTGTTTTTGTTATCTAATCGAATATAATAAATAAATAAATGGATTTTTCGGTAATGTTTGACTTTTGAATATGATTGCTTGGGTGCACAGAAAAACGTATGAATAAAAAACTTTGTAAATTAAATAGGTATACTATACACAAAAAACAATTTTGTTTTTTAAAAATGTCAACGATATAGGTACATGTAGTATTTGTTTTTGGAATGCAATAGTGATCCCTTAACTTTTAAAATCTATGTATATAAAAATAAGTCCGTTGTTCGTTAGTCTCACTAAAACTCGAGAACGGCTGAACCGATTTGGCTAATTTTGGTCTTGGAATGTTTGTGAAAATCCAGTGAAGGTTTATGAGGTGAGCATAATTTTTTTGGCGGTACAAAGTTGCCGGGCCAGCTAGTATCT